GGCTGGGGATTCGAACCCGCCACCTTAGGTGTATGTGGCTGGCGCCTTAGCAGCTTGAGCCACAGGCGCCAAGCCATCTATCAAGGGTCTTTATAACTGAAGTCACTGCCATTGTTACTACTGTGAAAATAGCTTCTAGAATCCATTCTATATCCATATCCAAGTTCTATAATGTTTACAAAGCTTGAAATATCCAGCAAAACAATCAATTAATTACATGAACAAAAACATGCTGCCACATTGTATGAATAAAGTCAAGTCAGTTTCTAAATGCAATAAAAAGGTAAAAATTATACTTAGTTATTCCTAACTGGTTAGCACCTTAACATGCATAAATGATGAATCTATACTCAAACAACAGACACCCATCCCTAAATACCATTATCATTTCAGAAAACGGTGTTCATTATATAACTTAAAAATATATACAGGTGCTCCCTTCCTGCACCCTTCTCAGAAAAACAGCGAACAGCTTTTCAAAACATTCAGAATAATAACTAAGCAAAACAAATCTTAAATGATATCAAATCTTGAATAAGGGAAAGAAAAGATGTCATTTCCAGGTGAATTCTGGCAAAAGCCAAGCATTTGTCCCTGTTGCTATAGGAAACAATAAGACAAGATCATAAACCTTGCCAGGGAACAAAGATACAAGAGTCCTATGAATAAATAGGCAAGAAAAATAATAACCTTTAGGTCTTAGACACTTAACTCTTCTTTAATGGCAATTTTGGAGTTTTTTAAAATTAAAAGACATGAGTTCATATTTTAGTACCAATCTACAGTTAATAAAAATGTTTCATCCTCGATATAAGAAAATGAGATAATCTCTTCTTAAATACTGTCTGTGAGAAACACTGTTGAGTCATCATAAATATCACAGATGGTGCTCTGAGATTAATCCAAAATAGTCACTTCTGGTTTTTTTCCATTAGCCTATTAAGAGTAAGGTATAATACTAAAATGTCTATTCAATGAAATACAAAAGTGAAATTAAAATAAACTGAATTATCCTTAATTGGAATTAAGCAATTTGCTACAGGAAGACAAAGAACATTGTGTATTTTCTTCTGCATGAAGTATTTAATTTTCTCAATATTATTGTAAAATTTCTTAGATTAAAACAAGGAATCAATTTCTGTTGTTAGAACTTGAGGGCAAAATGAAAAGTTTCCACTTACACAGCTTTGTTTACAATATCAATTTTAAAAAATAAAGAAAAAGTTGCTTTTTATTTATAGATTGATTTTCTATACTGTACCTGACTGTAATGTCTGTTCAGAAACTATGGATGCATCAAGAAGAAAACAAAGAATCATTAGTAAACAACAGGTTATAGTTAAAATCTAGAGTGTTATGAAAAAACAATCTGAGGTAGTCTCCCGTTCTCTTTTAAGTCAATTTGATGACTATTTTTTTCTGTTGGCTATAAGAACACAAAGGTTACAAGTAAATGACAAAAAATAACAAACACTCTATAACTAAGGAAAATCCTACACTGACTCAGTGATGTCCACTGTTTCACCATCAGAGATCCCAGACTTGCCCTTCTGGTTGCTCCTGTGTGTATTACGTGTGTGCACATGCCCGGGTGTATGCATAAGAATATGAATATGAAAACCTAAGAAGCTGGAGGATGCTGAAGATATGGAAGACACTGCCCTAATGCACATTTTCCAAAAGTCTTTCTGGTACTCATCAGTTGGTAAGTACAATCAGTTAAGCTGTAACAGGACACATGCATTCTAAAAACATCACAATGTTATGCAAAATTGTGCAAATTCCCATAGCCACAAGGCATATGGTGAAAATGGAGTTAGGGGCACTATCTTCAAAAATTTTAATGGTGAGATACCAAAAAAGACAGGAACTAATAAAAACAGTAGCACAGCATTATGCAGGTTACTTAATTAAGAAATGCAGTGACGGGGCGGCACCAGCCCCATGTACTGAGGGTGGCAGGTTTGAACCTGGCCCCAGCCAAACTGCCAAAAAATAGCTGGGCATTGTGGCAGGTGCCTGTAATCCCAGCTACTTGGGAGGCTGAGGCATATCCGCCTAAGCCCAAGTGCTGGAGGTTGCTGTGAGCTGTGACACCACAGCACTCTACCAAGAGCGATAAAGTATGACTATGTCTCTGAAAAAAAAAGAAAAAAAAGAAATTCATGTAAATTTACAATATAATTTCATCTTGAAAATAATACTGGCTTATAGAAATGGGCATCAAACAGGGTGTAGCTTGTGAGTAACTGTGAAAGATGGAAGAAGGGTTATCTGAAATTACATGAGCAGTTGAAACAACAGATGTGGATGCTGATGACTCATAACACATGGTGAACTAAAGAAGCTGTTTCAAGTGTATACATAAATGCATGTGTATTTTATATATTTCTGTCCATCTCCTGCTGGGTATGGTTTTTTGCACTTAATTCTTGCTATTTGCCAGTGAAATTACGCATAAGCTCATGCAAAGTTGACATTTTTCTCAAATCATTCCCTGATACATCAACCATGTTGGAACAAATTCCCATTCTCAGAACAAGCATTATGGCAGACTGACTGTAATTTTTAAAAGGCTGACTGTACTTTTTTAAAGGCATATCTTATATATAGTAAAATGTGCAGGAAACTAAAAAACTGATGCTCAAGCTTGGTTATTATTTCTTAGGTCCTCTGCTTCTTTTCTTCTTTCCTTCAACCACTTACTTTCAATTGTTGCTTATTAATGCCTCCACATCAAAGTAGGCACCAGTGGAAAGAGGTGACAAAACACAAATCAGTCAAATCTCTACTTTTGAAAGTTAGGAAGAAAGCCTGAAGTTGAAAGTAATAGCTAAGATCAGATTTTTTTCTTAAGAGTTTGAGTAGGTCTCAGTTCCCCAGCCTACTTATAGATCCCTGAGGATTTGGCTGTAATTAACTACCTTCAGAGCACTAGCAGAATTCTGAGAATCAATAACCTATTTGGCCAAATAATTACCCAAGAGTGCATACTTGATACAGGAACAATTTTCTCTGACTTGAAGAGGGACCATTAAAAGGTTTGAGGCTAGCAGGGAAAAAAAATGTTCAGAGTGCTGAAAAGTCAAATTTATTTTGTTAATTATACCTCAATAAATTTGGGAGAAAAAAAAAGAAAGTCTAATCTACTAAGCTCTAAACATTGAGTTTTCTACTACTTCTATGGACTTGCTGACATAAGAAACTCATGTTCTTTTGATTTTAATAAAAGACACAGCAAAAGCCATATATTTATATCAGATATTCATATTGTAATAGCAGTTAGTATCCAATAGTAAATACTTCCTTAAATTATTAATTAATATGATTTCATGCTTACTTAAACAATAGTAATTAAAGGTTAAGATCAAGTCATGGAGTGATTAGAAATATAACCAATGTAAGCATCAGTTTTCTCAGTAATGCATTTTTCCCCCATATAATTAGATTATTGAATGCTCTTTTAAAAATACTAGCTGAATATTCCATGAAATCTTGCCTTGTATAAAATTACAAATACTTATTTACCCCCTCAATCATAATCTATAGAAAAAAACACACCTGGGCTTCAATTTATGGCTGGCTTATGCGACTGATGGCATAACTTTTAGTAGGCGAGGCTTTCTTTCAAAAATGCAATTTGCAAAATTTACCGTTATAGAAATTCCTTCCTAAAGTATTTTAATCAACAATCTAAAATTATTTATGTAAATATATTTACATTTACCTCTTGAACTTTTAGAAGGACAACAAATAACATAGTAAATAAAGTACACATACCACGCAAACTTCCAGTAGTTAAAAGAGCTCGAGCTTTGTCAGCTAAGTCACTATTTAGAGTATTTCCCAGTAGCAAAACATCAATTGCCTCTTGCTTGGAGCTGTCAAAGAAGTTATTTTGAATTGTTCTGGTTACAGAACGAGCACCATCTTTTAACTTTCCAGCCTGTTGAGGAAGAAAGGAGAGTGAACTTTCATTCTAAATATTGTTGATTTTACTCAATAGGTATTTTGAAACTTTACATCAGTTTTATATGATTTTAGTATTAAAAGAGGCCTAATCATTCTATTTTGAGTATTAATCATCACAATAAAAACTGTCTTAAAATGTTAGTTTCCTTCCTTCTTTTGGATAACAACTTTACAGGAAGAAATGAAAAAAGCTCAGTGTCACAACTGATCCAGTAATAATCTCTAGAGCAGCAAATGCTTGGTATTGTTTACCATAAAGGAAATAAACTGAAGTGTACTTATTTAAAACAAGAAAATTTCTTTTTACATGGTAACTTTTAGTTAAAATTAAAACTTAGTCTAAGGGTGGTGCCTGTAGCTCAGTGAGTAGGGCGCTGGCCCCATATACTGAGGGTGGTGGGTTCAAACCCGGACCTGGCCAAACTGCAACAAAAAAATAGCCAGGAGTTATGGCGGGTGCCGGTATTCCCAGCTACTTGGGAGGCTGAGCCAAGAGAATCGCCTAACCCCAAGAGCTCAAGGTTGCTGTGAGCTGTGACACCAGGGCATTCTAAAAAAAAAAAACACTTAGGGTAATAATGAAAGTCTAGTCTAAAACGAAATTCACAATTACGGTTCATAAATGTTACACGTAAACTAGCTTGTATATTTTGAGTCATTTTATTGCCTACATATATAAAAATCACAAAGTAATAACCTATTCCTATAATGACAGTTGATTATGACTTTTAATGAACATACACTTTATTTAGGCATGTTAATTACCAAAAAAAAAAATTATTTTGGTCTTATAGATCTTGATGATCATAAAAAAAAAAAAAAAAAAAACCTCTTGCCTTTTAAAAAATTCTAGTCTGTGATAATTAATTTTTATACCTCAAAGGAGTAATGGTAATTAGAGGCTTCTTTTAAGAATAGAGAGCCACTTTAAGTGCCACTAAATGAATGTCACTGTTTATTAGCTATTTATATGTGGCATTAAAATGTTATTTCCTTCCAAAAAATAACATATACACAAATGACATTTTTTCAAAAGACACTCACCATTCACATTATCAGGCAATTAGTCAAAAGGAACCCAGAGAAAGGAAAAGAAAGAGCAGTTCAGATGTTAGATTTTAGTTCAAATCAGACTAGCACACTTAATATATAAAATTTCGTATCTATATATTATGCTATAAAGGACCACTGAAAATATATGTAGCCTCTGTACATATATTGTCTTAGACATCGCAGAAACAAAAAGAATATTTTAAGCAACAGTTGAAGAGGACCAGCTTTTAATAGCAAGAATTATGTATTCTATTTGAACAGAATAATTAAAAGTTTAACAATTTCAAGTTTTCAAACATCAGAACTATGAGTTGAACAAAAGGAAGTTTGCAGGTTTGGACAGAGGCATGACATTTTAACAGGCAGAGAGGAAGAGGAAGATTTGGAAATTAAAAGGAAACTTGGGGGCCTGGAATGGTAGTTCATGCCTATAATCCTAGCACTTTAGGAAGCCAAGGTAGGAACACTGCTTGAGTCCAGGAGTTCAAGACCAGCCTGGGCAACACAGCAATGTCTGTCTCTACCAAAAAAAGAAACATTAGCTGGATATAGTTGTGTACACCTGTAGCTCCAGCTACTTGGGAGGAGGACCACTTGAGTCTAGGAATTTTAGATTGCTATGAGCTATGATGATGCCACAGCATATTAGCCTGGACAACAGAGTAAGACACTGTCTCAAAAAAAATTTTTTTTTAAATTAAAAGAAGACTTGAAGATAGTCTTTAAGGAATTTCAGTTGCTATGCTAAAGCTGAATGAGAACTAATGAAAGTGGCAAATGTTCTCGTTTATATTCCTGAAATAATGAGAAATCAGAGATTTAGACTATTACTAAATTTGAGTGAGGTCAGGATACTTAAAAAGTTAAATAATATTTAAGTATATAACGAAAAGTATCTCAAGTATGGTTCCAAAATCTCACAATAACCGCTAGATATTAGAGAACAAAATAGTCTGTAGATAATGTCAGCAATTAAAAATTTTAGTAACTTTTAATTATAACTAAGTCTATATCTCACACTTACTCGGCACCATTTTGATAGCTCCCTTGTCAAGATAAATAAAAGCATAAATTATCCCCTAATCATAGTAAGTATTGCATAAATTGTCACTTAACTTATCTGCCCATCCAGCATTTGTCACATAGCTATTAAACAGTAGGCACTGTGCCAAGAACATTTACTGGGAGGATATGGTTAAAAAAAATCATACTTATAATCAAAACGATATAAAAAGCAAAACAGATATGCAAGGGAAAATCATAAAAAATGTAAACAATACATATCCTCTTGATGGATTATCACTAAATGACTAAATATGTTATATCTCCATACCCCTCAAACCTCAGGAAATCTCTACCTTCCATTTGAACACTAAAATCCACTGTATAAGCAAGTATCAAAGAAGGCACAAAAGCACAGGATAAAACAGAACTCTAAAACATATTTATTAATTTAAAAAACTATTAATTTAAAAGCTTTATTAGGAGAGAAAAAAAGGACTTTTGAAATTTTATGACAGATCTAGATCTACCTTAGCCTTTCCTTCAAGAGCACCAGTCCCTGCATATATCTTACTGATGGAATCACCATTCACAGACCACATTGACCGAAAAACTTCTTGAAAGCGAGTCACCAACTGAGGCTTTTCAGCTAAGCTGAGAGCTTCCAACTGTTTAGTTAGCATCTGTAACAGCAAAAGAGAAACTTATATAAATATATTAATATATTATGTTATGACTTTTAAGAACTGCCAGAATCAAACCAAAAATTTGGTCATTATAGGACTATTTGGGACTGGATTTTGAAAACATAAACATAGGCAGTGTTTACTAGGCAGTGTTATTTCCCACCATTTCAGTTTTTAAAGTAAATACAACATCAAAGAAAACTACAAGTAACTTATTATTATCTTGTATTACGAAGAAATTCTTTATAGTTTAATGATAAAATTAATTTTATTAAAATGTCTCTAAAAATCAGACTTGTTTATCTTGCTCATCTAAAAGAAATAATCGATAGTATGCATTAGAATAGAGAAAAATATTTACTTAAAATACATATGGAAGTAACTAAGTTTCTTTAACTTTCAGATTTGGTTTTATAATTTTAAGTAAGGTTAAGAGATTATGAAAAAACAAATAGCTGCTCTTAAACTGTCACAAAATAAGTAAGTTATAGCTCTGAATAAAGTCATGAGGCTTGGCGCCTGTGGCTCAAGTGGCTAAGGCGTCAGCCACATACACCTAAGGTGGCGGGCTCGAATCCAGCCTGGGCCCGCCAAACAACAATGGCTGCAACCAAAAAATAGCCGGGCATTGTGGC